AATATCCAAAAATAAATCCCAATTGTGTGATCACATAGGCACTGGCTTGAACACTAAGGCTTAATTGTCCACTTATTTTGGGGTTTCCGAACAAACCCGTAAATAACCAAATTTACAGTCATTTATCTTTTAATGAAAATAAGATACCAAAGGATACTGAGCCAAAATTTTTTTAAATTTGCCTTAAAAAGATAAAATGAACTGCAGATATGTAGATATAAACCCATATAACACCTTTAAACCCCCCTTTGGGGGGCCCCCTTTTCCAGGGCCTTTTTTTGTACCATATGGGTTTGCCTAAAACCAAACCACAGGGTGGATAAAAGGGGTGCTCAATAAACTACCACTTTTTAGGGCAAAAAACCCAAAAAAAACCCTTTTGTTAAGCATTTTTGGGGAAAAATTTGTCGGGGTTTTTTCCCCGGGGTGCAACCCACACCCCGTTGGGTAACACCCCCCGTACCCATTTTTAAAAACTGATGGGGTAGCAGGGACAGCAAGTGTCTTTCGGAAAAAATGTCCCTAATTTTTTCCAGCCGTACCAGAGATTCGAAAATCCAACCCCAGTGTGAGAAGTGGGGCACAAGTGATTTGAGCTAAAAGTACTTTAGGGGAGGAGGAAACATAGGGGGACAAAAAAACAGAATAGGGAAAAGGAGAAGGAGAGAATGGAGTGGGAAAAGAAAAAAAGATAGAGGGCAGAGGAAAATTCAAAGGAGGGGGGGGTGGGGGCAGATTTTGGCTTTCTTAGTACCCAGGAAAGAAATGCCCCACACATCCCCCCGTGGGAAGAGTAAGTAATCCCCCCATATCCCAAAGGGGAAAAATTTTCCCAAAACCACCAGAATAACCCGTAAATCTGGATAGTACCCAAAAACCCGTATAAATAAAATGTAAATTTATTTTTCATTTTAAAATACAAACCCTATGGGTTTAAAATTTAATTAATAAAATTATGCCCAAATTAAGTCTAAATTAGTAGTTTTTCACTAATGGGAAAAACATTTTTCACAAACTTTTTTTAGGCTTTTTAAAAACTGTCACATCTTTTCTTTTTTGCTCTGGACCCATTTTTTTAAAATAATTAAGGGTTTTTTTGGGGGGGCCCAGTAACTGTGGAAACTGAAATCATGAATACAAAATCCTTTTGGACATGGGGGGCTACTGTACTTTATTAAAAAAATGACCCAGCCCAAAAAATTTTCTTACAAACCAAAAGACTTGCTGTTTTCCCAAAAACAAGACCCAAACTTCCCAAATTTTCTTAAATAAAAGAATTAAAAAATTTTTTCTATTTTAATATGGGGTCGTTGAAAAAATTTTGGGTTTTGAGACCCAAACACTTGAAAAATTTTTGAAAGATTTTTTAGGGAATTTATTAATATTGCAAGTTTAGGGGACCCTTTTTTTAAAATACAAAACCCCTACAAAACCCAAATGCCAAAAATCCAAATCCCCCTGTTTCCCACATTTCTATACCTCCCGGGCCCCTTTGGTTTCTTTCAGGAAGATGAAAATCATTTTTAAGTTTTTTTCTATCTACTGTGGCCTTGCTCTGCACCACGCCAAACTTTAGATAAAATTCGTCGCACCCGGTAGCAGAAATACAAGGTGAGTGGCCCCACCCTCACTTTTAAATTTCCCTTTCCCTTTTCCCTCCCTGCCCCCTATATTTTTTATTCCCCCTTTTCTTTCCCTCTTCTCCCTTTTTTGTTTTCCCCCTCTTTTTTGCTCTTTCCTTAACTTTATGCGTTTCATTCTTGCCCTCTTTCTCTAAACTTCTTCATTCCCCACTCTCTTCCTCCCATTTAAACACTTTCCTTTCTTTCCCCCCCCCCAATTCTTGGGCAGCTTTTTTCAGCTCTTTTTACCTTTTATTCCCTTTTCCCCACCAATTTAATCTCCCTTTTTGTTCCCCCCTTTCCTTGCTTGTAAAATTCTTGACTTTTGCAACTAGCTCTCTCCAACCCCAATTTCATTCTTCTTAGCCCCCTATGCCCCAAAACCCGTGGTTTTTGAAAATATCTGTTTTTATTTTCCCCCTTTAATTTCCCTTTTTCCTTCTATCCCTTAAAAACCCGTTTTTTAGCTCTTTCTTCCCTTTTAAAACCCCTGTTACAACTTTTTTCTTTTTTCTACCTGCTACTTTAACTTTTCAATCCCTTTTTTAAACCCCCTTAATTTTTTGTTAAAACCCTTTCCCGACTTGGCGCTTTTTGTGTACATCAAGGGGCATGCAACTTTTATTTTTTGGTAAACATGTTATATCCTTTTTTGGGGCCCAAAACACTGAAATTTAACTTTTAAAACACACATGGGGTTTTTTTTTTTTTTTTTGCCCAAAACACATAATCTTGGTGCATTCATAACACTTTTTTTGATGTGTTTTTGAAAAATATTAGAAGTCTTTTAGAGACTTTAGAAAGGGCTTGAAGGTCTTTTGGGGTTTTTTCTTGTTGATTTAACTTCTTTTGTTTAAAAAATAAAAAAATAATTTCCCGAAAAGTTTTTTGGAATAAGTTTAAAGTAGATTTTTCTTATAAAAAAATATTAAGTTTTAAAATTGCATAATTGTAAAAGTACTTTCAGAATAAAAAATTAACTCAAATATAACTAAAACCTTAATTAAATATGTAATACAGTATCTTCAAAATCTTCCTTTTTACATTATATTTAACCTAAATTATCAATAACGTTAAAACTCTGCACAAATAACCTGCATATAGGAGACCAAAACTTATGATGACATTTTGGTCCAATTTAGACCATTAACAAGTCACACTGAAGCTAGAAGGAAGGGTCCCCTTCCCTTCTAACTTCAATGAGACTTGTTGATGATCTAATTTGGACAAAAATATCATCATAAGCTCAATCTCTTAAGTTTGGGTTTTTTGTGTATTGTTTCAACCACAGTATTGTGACTCTTTATTCATTGAACTATAAGTTCTCCAGTGGACAATTTAGCCAGAATGGAAACCACTTGGTATATTTGCAGCATTCATTTTTCTCTCACTTTCTTTGAAAGAGCTGACTACTTAATAGGTGTAATAAATTATACACAGTAAGACTGAATGAAACTATTAACCTCAAGAAAAACTAGAGTGAATTTGCAGTCAGTGTCTGCTAGTCATGTGGTGCTGATCTTTCTTCATCCTAAGTGGAAGAACTATAGTGAATATCGAAATTTGACTCGATCAGGAGACTAGTTTAGTCTAGACCAGAGTCCCCAAACCCTTTTTTAGTATGAAAGGGCAAATTTGAAAAGCCAAATTTAAAGGACGGCCACATTTTTGTAATATTTGCAATTTTTATGAATAAAAACAATAAACATCTTTAATTGTTAAACATTGCAGTATTGGAACCTACAGAAAAGTGAAGGGCCACATGCAGCCCTCGGCCATAAGTTGGGGAACTCTGGTTTAGAGTTAATGTTTTTTGAAGAGACCCAACATGAAAACCCATGATTGTTTTTTAAAGGTAAAAAAATCCTTGACAACAAATGAAAGCTCAACTTACATTAAAAAATGATACTCGCTTTTACTAAATCTGACAGAATTTTACATTGAGGTTCATCATAAAAACCTGATTTAACACTAGTTTTATTACACTCAGTCATTTTAAACCTTACAATGTGTCAGCACTTCACAAGGTTTTTGGCTATAATTTTTTTTTTTTTTTTTTTTCAACAAGTTGGCCGTCTCCCACGAGGCAGGGTGACTATAATTATTTTCTTAATTATACTTAAACAATCTCTCTTAAATAGAATAAAATAAAATTGGGGAATTCTCTAAACAAATGTTAAGTGCTGCAATAAAAAATCACACAAATAAAATTTGTCATCACAATAGAATTGTTGAAAATTTTACCATTTGACATCATTATGCATAAAAAAAATTATAAAAGAAAAAATTAAACAAAGAACTGTCAAGTAGTCTTACTTTGCCCTTTCCCGTTACCTAGGTTCGTCTTGACAAACCCCATAGGAGGAAGACTGGCTGCCTCATTCTTCACCCTCTGCACTCCACTTCTGACTGTCCCAACTTGCCTGGCTCTCTCTGTTATTATGAGCTCTGGACAGGGCCAAAATAGAAGTCTTCTTTTCCATACTATGCTTACACATCACCATTGTGAGCACTGATAACCAGCTTATAAACTGTTAAACAACCCAGCAGGAAGGTGCAAAATGGGCATCAAGCCTATAGCAGTTTCAGCACGGTAACTGAGAACAAGTGGTGGCTGGAAGTCGCTGCTCTGTTATGTGTGAGCTGCCTGTAGTATGATCAGCCTCATTAATATTGCACTTAGGTTGTCTAGTGCAAGAGAGAACAACAAAACAATGTAATTTGTCAATTTATTTTGTACTATCAGCTTTACGATTTATTTTGCTGCCACTGTACCATTTACATTTTGCTCAAGTAAACAGTTGACATATTAAAAGTGAAATTTAAAAAAACTGCATAGAGCATCACTAAATGACCTGGCATTGTAATGCAAAATGGAAAAAGTTGTAATATTCCAAAATCTGTGAAGGTGATCTGCAATTAAAAGTAATAATACAGTACAGTAATATGAAAAAATAATATACTGCACTGTAATAGTAATAATTGTAAAACAATAATAATAATAACTCTGCAAGGATACATAAGTCAGGCTCCCCAAGAAGCCACAGGAGGGACTAGTATCAAATTAAATTTGAATAAGTCTTTAAAAAACATCATCTGGGATGACGTTTCTCAGCTCTGGAGGAGCCATTTGAGACCTGAGAGAGGGAGACAATGTGTTCATGTTGATTTATGACCATGAAGGTCATTGCACAGGTCCCAAGGCATCAGACTAGTGGGCCGACTCTGCAGCTTCTCGGAAGGGTGAAGTTTCAGAGAAGTGTGTTGATAATTTTAGGTCTGTCCCTTTCTGAATTGTCAAGTGTGGGTGTAACTCCTGTGTGGTCTCCTAGTGGCCCTGACAGTGTCTTCCCATGTGTGCCTTAATTAATGTTCAAGTTGCGTCCCCTTACAGGTAGCCCTTGAAGTGCTAAGTTACCACAACTCTTGCACTGATGATGAGTTTGAGACTCTTCAAGCCGACTCATTAAAGAACGCACAGCCAGGTGTTGATGAGTAAGTAGAAATAAGATCAGTCAAGGTAGCTAAACATTTAAATGTGTCTGCAGCCGTATTTTTGTTGTCTGTGGGTAATCTCTTTCCTTTCCATGCTTTTATCAAGGAATGACTAACTTTAACTAATCGTTCTTCTTCTCTCCTTGATTTGCAGGGCCTATTGAATTATGCCAAAGAATGTTTAAGCAAATTTAAAGATGAAATTTATTTCATCTGTAACAATGAACATATGTAACGTTCCATGAAAGTGACCCAAAACCACTATAAAATTTTCTATTTTTTATATATTCATATATATATTTTTTTCTTTAAAGAAATAATGAATACCGGTATTTATCATGGAATGAAAACATTGCTTTGTTGTTTCAAAGGTTACTGCAAGCCCTTCTATCAGTTCCTTCTTCCTGTACCACATTATGTACATCCACTTAAATGCTAAATAGCTCCTTCCTTGTCAACTTTTCCAGGTAGCTCTGGAAATGATGAGCTACCACAGCAGTTGTGTGGAAGAGGAGCTTGACAGGTTGTCAAGGGAGGAGGTGCCCCCTCAATTGCCAGAAGTTGATAAGTAAGTATAGGAGGAGGGCGGGAGGCTGGCTGCGTATGACAGTTCAGTTAGTCACGAGGTCCTGTATCTGAACCTTCAGGAAGTATAATTATTCCTAAATTATATTTGGAGCTACATACTTTTGATATAATCTTAACTTGCAGATATACTCTGCCTTTCTGATTGACAAATTTTTGGAAGACTCTATTGTTGATTTTTTCTGGTGGTGGGTGCTCTAACGAAGATCCATGTGGCTCTAAGCCCTGAAGATTTCAAAGAACTGGATACCAATATTAAACATGGAAGTGAAATTTCAGTTTTAATAATAAGTAAAAATTGGAAAACCGGAATAAGTTGCATTGGAGTATGGGAGACGTGAAGAACGCCAATCATACTACACTTAAAATAAATACACTCCACCTGGGAATGGTTCAGGCCACTGATAACAAATTGTCTAACGCAGCTCAGCAAGGCTCATATTGTACCACGCTGAGGAAAATTTATTAATAATAATTATTATTGTTATTATTATAATTATGATTATTATTATAATGATGAAGTGCTAAATCCATGAAATTCATACAGTGCCTTAGTAATGGGAAGTAATCAGGTTTGATCCAAGGAAGTAGAGGGTAGCTCCGGTTCCTTGAATCCACAGCCTTTCACCAGAATCAAGGCACTGCCTTGAAGGTGAGGAGAACTTTGCATTGTTCTTCTAAGTTCTTAAGGATATTCTTTTGAGGCAAACAGACACTTTGTTATTTCATTTATTACTGAATGTATTTTGCCAATATTAACCCACATATTAATCTGTAATTTTTCTACTATTACTGGGCTTTTTTAGTTGTAAAAAAAAGAATCTGCCATTACATACTGAGCTATACTGACTTGAGGACTTATTAATGTCCATAATTATTTCCTGATAAAGAGCTCAGTTCACCAATATTGGACTTATCCCAAACTTTGGCTTTTTTCTTCATTGGTGACCTGGTCCTATAACTGGTGACCTTGTCCTATCACCGGTGAGCTTGTCCTATCACTAGTAACCTTGTCCTATCCACTGGTTGACCTTGTCCTATCACTAGTAACCTTGTCCTATCACTAAAGAGCTTGTCCCGTCACTAGTGAGCCTGTTTAAACTTCTTATTTTATTAATAAACCTGAACTTGGCTGGGGTAGTTAGATTAGTCTTTCACTTAGATATGCTTGCACAGTTATGTTTCAACTGGAATAAAGTGATTTTATTTGTGTTTTCTGCTTTATATAGCTTGGGAATTTTAACACTGTAATGCCATGGGATGACTGATTCGATGGAAATCATTTTAGATACTAAAAAACAGTAGTCGTAACATGGGCATTTATTATTATATTCATAAAGAAGTGCTAAATTTATAATGGTTTTACTATGCCTGGGAAATTTGAAGTACGTAATGAGGTTTGATTTAGGGAAAGGGTAACCCCATCTCAATGGATCACAAACCATGCACTATGAAGGAGTGGTGTTGATATGTTGAAGTTTTCTAGCTGTAGTGTAGGCACCCCTCTGGTAAAACAGTGATGGAGTGAATGATGAGGAAAGATTTCTTCTTTTTCTGGTCACCCTGCCTTGGTGGGAAATGGCCGATGTCTTAATAAAAACAAAAATATCATCATTTTCTTGGATTAGAATTAATTCTTACAGTGAGCTATAGCTGTTGCCAATGTATTATAATACAGTATGAGCACTTACCATTCTTTTATTATTTAAAATAATTAATTTTTACTAAGAACTACAGTCATTTCAGTTATTTTGAAAAGGAAATTGTGTCCACATAGGAAATCCTGTAGCCTTATGCAAATTTCAGGTTTAGATTCTTTATTTCAGCATGATACGAAGTTTGTACAAAGATGAACGACATTTAGGTGCACATACAGAAAGTCCCTTAGTATGCAGAACATTTCAGGCAAATTTAAGCCTGTGTTAAGACTAATAAGGCAATGGTTAACTGATTGCTTATATATATACAGTTAATCTCTTAATCACAGCATACACTGAAAGATAGTTACAGTAGAGTGAAGTACGCATAGTAAAAATGGCTCTGACAGTGAAACCCTAACAGTGAAACCCTCATCAAATGCTAATGTTAACCCATCAGTTATCATAAGCCTATTTTTAGCTGCATTTTTCCATTTGCTTGTATCTTTCTTCTTTGCTTCAGATATTGTCTACTGCTTGCATATGCATCATTTGCTTATTTTGTGTAGTGCTGGATACCTTAGAGATATTGGCAAATTTTTGTATTTAATAAGTGTTTTGTGACTGTTATTTTATATTATAATATACTAGAGAGCACCATCAGTAGATGAGAGTGTTCATACATGTTCTAGAAGAGATACTATTCATGTTTCTATTTGATATGATTAAAATTAACATTTAGTAAGTCGTGTTCACAAATCCAGCAGTCAGGTCATTTTTCTTTTGCTGACTAATATCTTCTTATTATGAACCTAAGCTGGATCATAGTCAACAGATGCATTTATTAAGACTGATAGAGTATAGATGGTATGAACAGTAACTGAACAAGTTTTCCACTGGATGATAATGGTAACAGCTTGACGTAGCTCCTGGAGAGTGAAACATTGCCACAATAAAATGTCACATTAGTTACATCTGTGTCCATTTACCAAACAACACACATCTTTCCTCTGTTTAACCCTTAAACTGTCCAAACGTAGATATACGTTGATGTGTGGCAGGCTCCGAACATAGATCTACTTTTTTTTTACATGCTTTCAAATGGGGAAAATCAAGGTCAGAACACTAAGCACGTGAACGTAGATCTACATTTGGACAGTTTAAGGGTTAAACACCCCATCTGGGGAGCATAGCAATACTGTCTTCCTTTTTTGACTTTTCTTTAAAGTGGGTCAAGTTTTGTAAACCTAACTTATGGTAAAACCTCAATTTAAAAGATTTTTGGATTTAACAGATAAAGTGGAAACAAGGGATGAAGTCCAAACTTCCAGAATTGTCTGCTGTTGTTGTGATCCACTGGGTAAATTGTTTTTGGAAACAATGGATAAAGTACACTGTTTCATTATTATGAGTATAACGAAACAATTAAATTTGGGGGGATTTAACAATCAGCATTACTGGATGCCTTCACCCATTTTATTATTTTGTTAAATCAAGGTTTTGCTATATTTTCAAATTAACATGGTGATGCAAAAATAAACATCTATACAAGATGTTTCATGATAATGATAAACAATCCACTTGCAAGACACGTAGCCACTTTTTAAAATAGTTAATAGTGTATACTGTTCCTATATACTATACAGTGGAACCTCAGTACTTGAGCAGCTCCCTACTTGAACAATTCGTTATTTGAATGCTTTGTCCAGTAAAATAATTGCTCAGTAGTCGGCCATTTGCTCGGCACTCTACCAAACAAACACGACCTACCGGAACTTCGCTGTAAATTATTTCGTGTTTCTTCACGTTTTTTGGTCATTTTTTATATTATTTGTATAAATAAGTCACCATGGGGCCTAAGAAGATTAGTGATAAGCCAATCAAAAAGAAAACCGATTGGAAAAAATTTGTTTGGTACTCTTAACAGTTTGGCACTCGAACAGCCTTATGGAATGAATTAAGTTCGAGTACTGAGATTCCACTCTATATATTTTTCTTGTTATAGTTCACAGTTTTTTAGAGGAAGGCAGTCAGGCACATTGTGCTGCTCTGTTCAGCTTGCAGCATTTAATGATTTTTTTTTTTAGATATTTGAAGCTCTAGCATATGCTTAATTGTCCACTTATTGAGGAATATAGAGACAGACAGTATAATAACCTATGTGACATGTCAAGATATCTTATTAATGAAATTAAGATACCAGATATACTAAGCAAATTTCCTAAATTTGCTTGTAACAGATAAGTGGACTGTAGATATGTAGATATAAACCCATATGTACACCTGTTAACCCTTTGGGGCCTAGTTCATAGGCCTTTTGTGTATCCATATGCTCTTGCGCTACCGTCCACAGGATGGATATGGGGTGCACAATAAACTAGCCACTTCGATGGCAAAATCTAAATCTAGCATACGGGTACATATGGAAGATATAAAAAAAATTATGACACCTATTGCCATAAATATAGTCCAATTGTAATCAAGGAAAAACATGTGTTGACACTGGACCTCTTGTCAGTATCCTACCTTTGCCTGCTGTATATTTAATATCCAGGGTTTAGATTTCCATCCACTTCAACCATTTATTGTTTATGCATTAGCCACTGGTTTTAAGGATTAAAATTGAGACCTAAAAAAAAAAAACGAGAGATATGTTGTATGTTTGAATAGGGAAATATAATTGAGGATAATAAATTTGAAGGTTCAGTACTGCATGAGAGTGATGAAAATCTGGAGATAAGAGGCATGCAAAATAAATATTTGGCTGGAGATTTCATCCATCTCACTGGCTTTCATACATTTACAGTACATATAATAATATAAACACATACTGTACTTGATATAATACAGGATTGGCTCAATTCCTAAGCTTGTCAAGACATAGGAAAATCTTTTTTTACACCTGCTACCCATGCTCATGTAGCAGTAAATAGGCACCTAGGAGTTGTCAACTCTTGTGGCTCATATCTTAGGGAGGACTGAAGGAGCCTAATTGAAATAAGCCAAATTGTTGGATTTTCTTGTATCACCTCGTGTTAATTACTCTCCATGGTTTATAATTAGAAGATAATTGTCTTACTCTAGGTCAGCTTTTCATGGCCTAGGTAATCACCTTCCTGTATAACTCTTACTCATCACACACCCATAACTCATCCCTATCATCCCCCTGAAACACTTAGTCACATCCCACATATGCCTAACCTTAATTGGCCAAATTTTTGCAGTTACTACTTCTGTCCACTGTACTTGGAGGATATGGACAAGGTGCGCCACGCCATTTACATGTTTGTGGACCTGTTTGGTCTGTCACGGTTTGACAAAGAGTGCCTGATCCGGTTTACTCTGACTGTAAAGAAGAATTATCGGCGTGTCCCCTACCATAACTGGACTCATGGATTCAGTGTTGCGAATTCCATGTACACCATCATCAAACATGCTCCCAAGACATTCCGACCGCTGGAGGTAAGGGTCATAGATTTCTGTGAGCCAGAATGGTAAAGCAAGGAGGCTAGGATAGTAGTATACCTGGAGTATACCTGGTGGGTGTTTTGGGGGGGTCAGTGCCCCCAAGGCCCAGTCCATGATCAGGCTTCATGGTGGATCAAAGCCTGATGAACCAGGCTGTTACTACTGGCTTCATGCAAACCAACATACGAATCACAGCCCGGGTGGTCAGGTGCCTGTCCAGCTCCCTTTTGAAGACAGCCAGGAGTCTATTGTTTATCCCCCTTATGTATGCTGGGAGGCAGTTAAACAATCTTGGGCCCCTGACACTTACTGTGTTGTCTCTTAGCATACTCATGGCACCCCTGCTTTTCATTGGGGATATGTTGCACTGCCTGCTGAGTTTTTTGCTTTCGTAGGGAGTGATTGCCATGTGCAAATTTGGGACTAATCCCTCTAGGATTTTCCAGGTTTATATTATGATGTATCTTTCTCACCTGCATTCCAAGGAGTACAGGTCAAAGGGCTTACACTGTTCCCAATAATTTAGGTGCTTTGTTATACTTATACATGCAGTGAAAGTTCTCTGTATATTCTCCAGGGTTTGCAATTTTGCTTGCCTTGAAAGAGGCTGTTTGTGTACAGAAATACTGCAGCCGAGAGAGAACAAATGGTTTGTAGAGAATCATTGACTTGGCATCCCTAGTTTTGAAGGTTCTCATTATCCATCCTATCATTTTCCTAGCAGATGTGATAGAAACATTGTTGTGATCTTTGAAAGTGAGATTCTCTGACATTATCACTCTCATGTCCTTCACATTAGTTTTTCACTGTATTGTGTGGTGTGATGTGAAAAAAAATGTTAGAGTACCTGACCTGGCTGTGGTTCATACGTTGGTTTCCATGCAACCGGCAATAACAGCCTGGTTGATCAGACCCTGATCCAAAATGAAGCCTGGTCATGGAGGCAATGACCCCTGGAACATCCTCCAGGTATACTCCCGGTAAGCAAATGATACCATTAAGCTTTTTTATAAAACATAAGCATGGATATTAATGAATAATTTAGTTTTAATAATTCATTTAACAAATAAAATAGGAAACAGTAACATAAAATATTACCTGTAGATGTTTGACTTCCAATTTTAAACATGTTTTAATGGAATTTTTCTTACTTTTGAGCAAGATAACCAGTAACTTTACTGTAAAAGTCTGGCTTGCTCAGAAGATTTTTCTTGACCGAGAGAATTTCTGGAGTAACTCCTGTTTCATTTCACATTATTATTATTATTATTATTATTATTATAATCAAGGGGGAAGCACTAAACCCATAGGATTATACAGCGCCTATGGGGGGATGGAAGGCATTCAGGCTTAATTCAGGGAACTGGAGCACAGATCCAACTGGAGCACAGATCCAATTCCCTAGATCAAGAGCCCCTCACCAGCGTCAAGGAGCCTTCCTTGAGGGGTTTCATTTCACAGAACGATGCTGCACTTTACAGAGACAGTAATTGATGGTGCCATTGAAATGAATTCAGCCTTATTAAGCTTAAAATTTATGTTTATAGTTTATCTCTGAAATTTTCTAATATGTAAACTCTGTAATGTGTAACACTGAATATATCATTGCTTAGTTAATCTTAAGTTAATTTTAAGCCTGCTCATAATGCTCTGCATACAAGGGCTTTGGCATGTTGCACTGTAATAACTTTGTACCTCACTGTATCATGTTCAAATTAATAAATAAATAAATAAATAAATAAAATTGTGATTTCTATGACAAGCTATCAAATAAAGTTCTATAATTACACTTCAGTGACTGAAAAGAAAGCTCTGGAAATTCTTTTCTTAACACAGAGAATGAGAGTATAAGAGGTCTGTAAATCTTGTGTATTCACAGGAAAGTATCAAATCTATATGGGTTGTACAGTGCCTGGGGAATGAAAGACTACTGGATTTGATTCAGTGAAAGAAGGAAGTTAGCTACATTTCTCTGGATCAAGAGTTCTTCACCAGAATCATGGCACTACCTCTGAAGGAAAAAAAAATTGTAGCTGGTAAAGATAATGTTCTCATTTATTCTATAATGACATGTTATTTTTCTACAATTTATGGTTCCTCCACACAGTGCTTAGCCTTGTACATTGGGTCACTGTGCCATGACTTGGACCACCGTGGTAAGAACAATAAATTCATGCTGGAGACAGAGAGTCCTCTGGCAGCAATCTACACCACCTCCACCCTGGAGCACCATCACTTCAACCAGACTGTTACTATCCTCCAGCAGGTGACTGCTCTTTCCCTAACCATTGTTCTGTGGAGGAATCTAGTGGGCATTATTGATTTTCATCTAAGGAAAAAAATAATTCATTAAGCTGTGTTCCAAGACTTGCCTCATTAATTTATAGTGTTTAAAAGTGAATTATAATCATAGTATATTTATGGAGAATTGCTAAACCCTGAGGTTTCATTATTATTACTTTTGTGGAAAAGTACAGTACAACTCCCATAGGGATGATACAATGCTTGGGGTAGTAGAAGGTATTCAAGTTTCATCCCAGGAAGGGATAGGGAGGATAGGCTTAATTCCTTGGATCAAGAGCTCTTCACCAACATCAAAGCACCCACTATGAAGTGTTTTAAATTAGAATATAATACATAAACACATAATACATGATGAAGTTATGTGTCACTGAGAGAAGGACTGTGTGTTGCAGGAAGGCCACAACATCTTTGGCAAGTTGACCTCTAATGAGTATAAGCAAGTATTAAGTAATATCAAGCACTGCATCCTGGCCACCGATCTTGCCCTGTTCTTCCCAAACAAGGCAAGACTCACGAAGCTAGTCGAAGATGACTTCTTTGATTGGGAAAATCCAGATCACAGGTAAGTTGCTCTATAATTGTTATAAACAAGGGTGAGTGTTAAACATGTAAGGATCATACAATAGTTGAGAAATGGGAGGTAAGCAAGTTTGATCCAATGAAAGAAAGGTGACTACACTTTCTTGGATCAAGAGTCCCTCATCAGCATTGATGTGGTCACTTTAAGGGTTAATGTGTTTTAGATAAAAGGGAAGAAGACCAGAGTGCAAAAGTACTTGCCAGGGAGAGGTTGTTTGAGATCCATAGAGTTGTCTGATCAGAGTTACCAACAAGAATTAAGGCCCATCTTTCAAGTTATACATTTTATGTATACTGTATGGATAGAAATGCTTGACCACATTCATGACGAAAGGTCACAAATGCAGTCAAATATTCAAGGTAGGCTTTCTTGATCCCAGCATATCATGGAGGTCCTTGTGAGGAGATCATAAAGACTTTTATTATCTCTCTGCATCATTCTTTTTTGCAAAGGTATAAATATATTCGTGGGGAAGTGCTTAACCCATAGGCATCAAACAGCACCTGGGGAATGTAAGGTGATCAGGCATGGTCCATGGAGGAGGGGGACTCCAATTCTCTGGATCAAGACCCCATCATAATCATTGAGGCACCTACTTTGTCGGGTAGAGGCAGGTTTGACTGCCTTTAAACACGTGCACCTTTACGCGTGTCATCCTACTCGCGCTGCGCATCTGGATTCCCGTTCTTTAATTCTGACCAATCACAAGCCTTCCCTGAGTCCCTTCAGCTAAGTGGTGATGGTGTTTGCCGGCTTCCCATTGGTTGAGAGAACAAAATGTAAACACTTACAGCTTGGCGTCGCCCAGAGTGGGTTTTTTCCATCTAGTGTCACTAATATACTCTTGGATTTTACCCTCTACAATGTCGGTAAGTACTGATTGTTGTGTTTAGTGTGTACATGAATAGTTTAGGCATATTTTGATATATACATAAAGTCCATGTGAAGCATAATGTGAGTGTAGCATGCAGTTGAAAAAAGTGCAACAAAAGAAGGGCAGTCAGGACTGCCTCTGCCCTTGTAGGGACATAGTCCACTTTCAGTAAAATAAATATTTATAAAAAAATTTCTACTGCATATATGAATTCTGTAGTGGTCTGGATGTATACAGAATGTTTTTATTGTCCTTCCAGATCAATGAGAAATTGTTTTATGGGGAGCCTTCCAACACCAGGTCAAAATATGTCTGCATTTTGGATGACAGTAACTCAAAACCAGAGGTAGATGACCCAGAATTGCTTGATAGTGGTGATGAATACTTGCCACCAGATGCAGAGGTTTCAAGTGATGAGGAGGAAGAAAGGCCAGTCAAAAAGCAGAAATTATTCAAGAAAAAGAAAGGCATTGCGATCGAGGAGTACCCTGATGAGAAAGATATTTATGAAGATCTTGCTCTTCAAGGTTCTGTATGCAAAGTAAATCTATGCATAAAGAAGGATAGAAATTGCTTCATAGACTTCCATTCTCGCAATTAGTAATATAGAATGATTGCTCTTCCTCGTGAATCTCAGGAATATGGGACTTGAAAGTTTTATCCCTTTGCAATGTGTCCTTATTGCTATTTGTTTAATTTTTATATTTCTCTAATACTTACAAAATTTTCTGATACAAGTTCCATTGATGTTTTTGATATTGTATAATAAATTTTAAAAATAGTTATTGGGTGTTTTATTAACAATTGCAAGTTTGCAACATTCAAATTTATACTCCATATTTCGGGCATGGGCGAGTATATCTGCCTTTCGCAGATTAGCAATTGCTCGAAAACTAACCATCAGATTCCATTTACATGACCTCATTCAACTTATATTGAGATACATACTCTATCCACTCTAAAGGAGTTAAGTGTGAAATTCCAATATATCAGACATTGCCCGACAAAGGGTTAAAGGGATATAAATGATAAAGTTTACTCATTATAGCATAGCATAGACTCTTTATTCTACAACCTGACTGATGATTATTCTCCACAGATTGCTGATTGAGGCTATTGCAATGACAGCTTGTGATCTGTGTGCCTCTGCTAAGCCTTGGGATGTCCAGGTTGAAACTGTCAAAGTTATCTTTGAAGAATTTTATGAACAGGTAAGGTTAATTGGTAGGTTTATAAGCTTTTTTTTTTTTTACTGTGTCCTGAATGTAGTCGGGGTGAAGAATATACAGCAGGGAGTAACCAGGGTTATTTTCATTCAGAGTTGTGTTAACAGAAGAATAGGCTTATCCTGACTGAGGTCTGTCTCCTCATGCATTGATCTGCACATGGATAATAAAATCCATTCTACAGAGAGGGAGAGAGCAAGAATCTTATAACAAGAATTACTGGTCAAGATCAAGACAGAACCAAGTTTGTAAGATTCAAACTAAGAGTTTAAGAAAATATAAAGAAACAGAGACAATGACATTCACAGAATTATAGGAGGGACATGGTAGGAGACAGCCAGTATTTTGAAAAAAAAAGTGTGAGATACTAAATATGAAGTTTCAGAATGTATTTACTAAAAAAGGATACATTAGATGCAGTAGATACAACATTTTGAAGAGTAAAAATTTACAAAGAAAGAGTTCAGTTTTTGATAAGAAGATTCCAGTATATAAAAATTTATTGTTTAAGCTTCTACAGCAGTTAGGATTACCTGGGCAACTTTTGTCTTGTGTCTGGAATTTATCTGGGAAAATAGGCAGCCTGGAGACGTCTTTATTTTCTTACATGTACAACCTTCTGAATTGAGACAGAGAATTGACTTGAATTGAATCCTAAAATTAAACAAATAGGCTAGGTGATGATTGAGGAGAGCTTCATTAACATAGGTGAAACTACAACAAATTGTCACTTGCATAAAGAACATCTAATGTGTTAATTTTACCCACAGGGTGATGCTGAGAAAGCCGCAGGAAAGAATCCAATACCAATGATGGACAGAACTAAAACGGATGAACAAGCAGAATCTCAAGTGAGTTTTCTCATTTAGACATGCACATGGATCTACTTTAAGTTGTTGTCATATGTTAGTCATTCGTTTTGCTTTTTCAAATTAGCACGTATACATGCAGTTTGGAGGGATATGTTGTGTATCTTTATATGTGTATGCTTCTAAACTGTTGTATTCTGAGCACCTCTGCAAAAACAGTGATAATGTGCGAGTGTGGTGAAAGTGTTGAATGATGATGAAAGTATTTTCTTTTTGGGGATTTTCTTTCTTTTTTGGGTCACCCTACCTCGGTGGGAGACGACCGACTTGTTGAGAAAAAAAAAAAACAAAAAAAAAAACATGCAAAACATATAGTATATACTGGGTACTGATCTCTTATTCAAACATAAGCCTAAGTGATCCATATAGCACTTTAAAACAACCGATACTCAGAAATGTACATTTATTACAGTTACAAAATTTACAATACCATCATACAGAAAATAGATTCTCAGAATAATTTTGGTAATTTTTAAAACATTTGAGCATCTTGAGGCAATTGAACATAAAACCATTCACAGTGAGTTGTCTGAGAAAAAATGGCAGATGAACATTCTGCGATGTACAGTCATGTGCCGCATAACGATGTTTCGGTCAACAGTGGACTGCATATGCAATGGTGGTATAAACAAACCTAGTGCATTGCCAGTTGTATAAAAGCGTACCATATACACTTATGTACAGTACATAATACTTGATAATGATAATAAATAACTATGTTACTGCTTTATGTATTTACTACATTGTACTTTTTATTGTTATTCTAGAGTGTACTCTTTCGATTTATAACAAAGTTTACTGTCAAATGGTATGCTGTGTTACGCCAGCAACAGCCTCATACAATTCGTGTATACTGTGTCTCTTGATAGCATCGCTTTTCCCTTGTGCTTCATTTAATCTCATGTTGTTTTGTTCATCATAGCCCTGCAAGAGAAAAAAAGACAAAGAATCCCAAAGAAAATTCACAGTGAGGAGTTTAGCAGGAAGTTTTTGCAGACCTCAACAAGCTTCTTGAAAGGTTTGAAAACATGGACCCCAGTAAGAACATAAGAACATAAGAAATGAGGAACACTGCAGCAGGCCTGTTGGCCCATACTAGGCAGGTCCTTTACAATCCATCCCACTAACAAAACATTTGTAAAGTAAAAGGACACAAGTGCAACTAATGTGACATTTATTGTGGCAACGTTTCGCTCTCCAGGAGCTTTATCAAGCCATTACAAACAATACATGGACACAGAGGGTATATAAAGGCTCAGAGTGAGGTGAATACTAGTGAGGTACCATTTCGATGTTCACTAGTGGTAGTAGTAGTAGTAGTGGTAGTGACAAAAGTAATACAATATGGTAGAGCAATTAATTCGTACATGAGTAAAAGGATAAAAAGCTATTACTTGGGTAACATAAAAATAGGTTGGACAAATATAAACTGGAATGAGGCAGGTTGTTTCAGTGTTCACTCTCTGTGCTTTGTGTAGTATAACAGGAGAGACTATGTGATGGCAGGGTTTACTGTTTTCAGGAGGATTCTTGCTAAGACTTCGGAGATGGTGAAGCTGCCGTTGTTTTGTTTAATTGTATTCGAAACAGCGATCAGTGCTGATTCAAGGCACTTGCGTGTGCGGAAATTAGTTTCTTTTATCACTAATTGGGCGTCTCTGAATTTCATAAGATGATTGGTGGAATTTCGGTGTTGTACACAGGCGTTGTTTAAGTTGTCGTTCCTACATGTGTATATGTGTTCATTGAGGCGGGTGTCGAGGTTTCTTGCTGTTTCACCTACGTAGATCTTGTCACAGCCTCCACAGGGTATAGTGTAAACTCCTGCATTGACTGGTTCGTGGTGCTTGGGTTTTGTCCTGGTTAGATCCTTTATTGAAGTGGTAGAAGCGATGGCGACTCTGGTGTTAGCTTGTGAAAGTACTTTTGAGACGTTTAGTGCAACCCTAAACCAGCACACATGTATGGTTTACCCAAGACCCATAAACACAATATTCCTCTCAGACCAATCACGTCAGGAATAGGCAGTGCTCCACACAAACTAGCCGGAGTTCTTGCCAAACCATCTTTCCTGCCTTCTGGGGACCATCAGCCCCGCTCATCTTAAACACTCAGGCGACCTTCTCAACCGCATCCGTAACCTCTCCATCCGTAACAAGAAACTAAGCAGTTTGGATGTGACTTCCCTCTTCACAAAAGTACCTACCAAAAAAGCCATCGAGGTTCTACGACGTAAAGTCAACCAGGACCTTAATCTTCCTTTACCTCCCGGAGATTTTGTTGACTTGATTGAACTCTGTGTTAACTTCAACTGTTTTTCCTTCAATAACAAGCTCTACAAACAAACCTACGGCAGGGAATGGGGGTCCCCAATAAGTGCCGTCCTAGCCAACTTATACATGGAACACCTAGAGTCCGAAACACTTCGCCAACATCATCCCTTCAAGCGTCACTTGGTTACGTTACGTGGACGATGTCCTCGTAATAACTCCAAAACGTTTTGATGTACGGGATCTTCAGGCAAGGTCACGCAGTTGAACCAGCGATTCAGTTTACATAGAAGAAGAGTCCAATGAAAGCTACCTTTCTCGACGTCTCATTCACAAAGTAGACAACAACCTAAGATTTCAAGTTTATCGGAAACCCACCAATAAAAATGATCTCACACACTTCTATTCCAGTCAAGATACCAAGACCAAAAGAGGCATCATCATCGGGTTTTTCCTAAGAGCATACGAATTTGTAGTCCTGAGTTTCTTGACGAGGAATGCACTTACATTCACCAAACATTCACTGAGTTACAATTTCCTCCTTTTTTCATCAAAGACTGCAAGAAAAAGAGCTCTTCAGATCATCAATTCTCCACGCATCAACACCGCTCCCAACAAAGTTATAATTCTTCCCAACAGCCAGGTTGCACTAAACGTCTCAAAAGTACTTTCACAAGCTAACACCAGAGTCGCCATCGCTTCTACCACTTCAATAAAGGATCTAACCAGGACAAAACCCAAGCACCACGAACCAGTCAATGCAGGAGTTTACACTATACCTGTGGAGGCGTGTGACAAGATTACGTAGGTGAAACAGCAAGAAACCTCGACACCCGCCTCAATGAACACATATACGCATGTAGGAACGACAACTTAAACAACGCCTGTGTACAACACCGAAATTCCACCAATCATCTTATGAAATTCAGAGACGCCCAATTAGTGATAAAAGAAACTAATTTCCGCACACGCAAGTGCCTTGAATCAGCACTGATCGCTGTTTCGAATACAATTAAACAAAACAACGGCAGCTTCACCATCTCCGAAGTCTTAGCAAGAATCCTCCTGAAAACAGTAAACCCTGCCATCACATAGTCTCTCCTGTTATACTACACAAAGCACAGAGAGTGAACACTGAAACAACCTGCCTCATTCCAGTTTATATTTGTCCAACCTATTTTTATGTTACCCAAGTAATAGCTTTTATCCTTTTACTCATGTACGAATTAATTGCTCTACCATATTGTATTACTTTTGTCACTACCACTACTACTACTACTACCACTAGTGAACATCGAAATGGTACCTCACTAGTATTCACCTCACTCTGAGCCTTTATATACCCTCTGTGTCCATGTATTGTTTGTAATGGCTTGATAAAGCTCCTGGAGAGCGAAACGTTGCCACAATAAATGTCACATTAGTTGCACTTGTGTCCTTTTACTTTACATATTGTCGGTAATTCTACCAACTTTATTACAACAAAACATTTGCCCAACCCAATTTTCAATGCTACCCAAGAAATAAGCTCTGATAACTCTATCCATTCACATGCAAGTCCCACTCAAACCCAACCCCTCTCACTCATGTATTTATCCAACCTAAATTTGAAACTACTCAAAGTCCTAGCCTCAATAACCCAACTAGGTAGACTGTTCCACTCATCAACTACTGGTGTCCTGTTGCCTGGTAGGCAATACTCTTGCTTCACACACCTGAGTGTCTGTAGTTTGATTCCCAGCAAGGGTGGAAAAATTGGGCATGTTTCCTTACACCTTTTGTCCTCATTCACCTAGCAAGCAAGTAGGTACCTGGGTGTAAGTAGACTGGTGTGGGTCGCATCCTGAGGGACAAGATTTAAGAACCTCAATGGAAATAAGAGACAGTCCTTGATGATGCACTGACTTTCATGGGTTATCCTGGGTGGCTAACCCTCTGGGGTTACAAATATGAACAAAATCTTATCTTCATTAACAGAGAGGAATGTTCATGGTGCATTATCTGCTTACAAGCAAATCTATGAGGAAAAAACAAACAAGCCATATAGTCTAGGTGTGCAGTAGGCTATACTATTTAGGTTTGTGTAAGTACACTCTATGACATTCACATAACAACAGAATTGTCTAACGACACATTTCTCAGAATGTATCGTTGACACATGACTGTATACAGTAGGATAATATTTAAACGTCAGTTAATTATGCTTAATTATCTGAAATAAGAGTACAGTACCATGATACAGTAAATAGGAATACACACACACACACACACACACATATTACTTAGTTGAATCTTAGAGAATTTTAAAGTAATCCTAATGTTCATCTTTGCACGTGGTGTACTGTATATACTTTTTTATTTATAGGTTGGATTCCTTTCCGGCATCTGTATTCCATGCTATGAGCTGCTGCATAAGCTTATTCCTGATACAGAGCCACTCCTCACCGGCTGCAAGAACAACTTGCAGACGTGGAAACAAATAGCTGCAGAAAAGAAAAAAGTGGATAACGAGAAAAGAGACGAAGATGGTAAAGAGAGTGTTACAGGAATAGAAGAGGCCAGTGGAGAGGAGAAGGAGAAGACCTTGAAGAAATTGACGATGAATGCACTAATGCGAAAGCTGACATAGAAAATGGAAATAACACATAAAATAGTGAAGTTTATATACGATAGCCGCTTCCTTCAAGAGAAGGAAGCATTTAAATGAGTGGCGTACTGTACATAGATTATACTCGGTACAAATTAATACACTTAAGTTTTCTCAACTGTGCAGAGATAGCAAATCAAAAGACAAAAATCATCGTTATATGATTACTGAGCATTAACAATGTTCTCAAGGATATAATGTAATTATTGTCCTGAGGTATATCCAGAAACATTAAAATAGTGTATCATATTTCTTAGGAATAAAGGACTCTTTCATGAGAGTATCATCCAAGACACTAGAATTACAGTGTATTCTCTTCATAATTATCTTCATTTTACTTTATTTATTATCAAACTTGGTCTGAAATGTTGTTAGGCCATTTGTAACTAAACAGTCAGTAGTATTGTAATGAAGAGTGTATTTTCAATACATACTTTGAAATTGTGACGTGCAGGAAAATTTAAACACATTTCAGAAGGAAAATATTGACTAAGATATGCATCGTGTTATATATTTACGAACATATCCATTACATTTTGAGTGGGTCTATAAAGAATAAAAGAACAAAAAAAAAAAAAACAGTGGGCAGCAATGACAGCTTAGAAATTGTATCAAAACACAGCTAGTTAAAAAATAAATGTTTTAAGGTATTTAGCAGTATGCTAAAATGCTATTTCTGATTGCTTTTTATTACTATATTCACATGTTGGATTCATTTCAACATATGAATGTAGTAATTCCAACATCCGAATCTTCCAAATACACCCTGTATATGGCGGGATTCAAATGTGAAGTTACAGAAGTTTTGAAATCTTTTGAATGTTGTGTAGAGGAGGAAGAGTTGAAAGTGAATGCAGACAAGACTGAGGTGATGAGAGCAAATGTCTAAGAAATGAAATACTGAAAACCAGATTGGAAGGAATATATATATACATATATATAAAAGGTAGAAAATTGTATAGGCAAGTACATCAAAAGAACAATTTGTGATTACTCAAATAAATTAATATAGGTAAATCATTTAAGATGCTGTCTAGTAAAAATTCACTGTAGAATCCTATGGGTTTAGTGCTCCCCCATAATTATAATAATAATAGTAAAAATTCAGTGTGTAGTAGAATTTCTTGGCATAACTTCTGTAAAGTACTGTAACAGGTATTTTATAATTTACAATGTGGGCCTGTGGGAAAGATGAATGATTCTAGAGGTGTGAGAGAGGCTGATAAAGGAGAGTGAAATATTTATTATAAGGTCACAAAGAGTGCAAGCATTGCATTAGAAATATTGACACATTGAGCACTAGAACTGTGAGAAAAATGTAGAGAAAAAAAAAACATGAAATTAAGAGGACAGTTGCTGTTTTGTTAAATGATTAAGATATATTTTTATGGTATATGAAGAAGCATATTTACCATCACTCACTTAATAGCTGTCTTGCCAGAAGGGTGAAGACACTACAATTCAAATGACTCTCCAAACTGCTACATGCCCACCCCTCCTTCAGAGTGCAGGGACCTCTGTAACTCCTGTTTGGCTAACCAGTTTTCCCTCAATTCCTTCATAAACATAACTTTGCTCACACTCCAACAGCACATCAAGCCACAAAATCCACTTGTTTCTATCCACTCTGATCCAAGACCCTCACACAAGCCTGCTGGATGTTCAAGCCCCTAGCAATCAAAACCTCCTTTACTCCCTCCCTTCAACCATTCCTGGGATGACTCCTATCTCTTCTTCCCTCCACCCCAGGTTTATACACTCTTTTGGTTATCCTAGACTGCTACATTATTTCTAAATTATCAAACCACCTCAACAACTCTCCTCAGCCCTCTGAATTATACTTCTGGTGACCCATCTCCATCTTCTAATTTCTGTACTCTGAATTCTTTGCACAATATTCGCACAACTCATTGTTGTCAAATATGACAGCTCCACTGCTTCCAGCCTGATCCTTGCTGCAACTTTTAAACTGAGTGACAGTCATTATATTTTTCCATCAGAGATTGTAACATCTGTGTGATCAGTCACCCACACATTAGATGTGGCTGTCTCCCTCAGTGTATGAGTTAAAATAATTTCTCCTTTTATTGTACAGGTGGATTGCATAGGGACTGGAATGGGTACATTGGTATCATTGGTAGGAACTGGCTATCTCATCGGGGTCATTTTAACTCTATACATATACAAATAACTCTCGCATAAGAGAAAGAAACTTATGACAACGTTTCAGTTTGACGTTTCAGCCAAGTTGGACTGAAACGTCGTCATAAGTTTCTTTCTCCTATGTGTGGGTTATTTGTGTATTGTTCCAATCATGGTATTATGCCTTTTTATTCTTTAACTCTGTATATGTGATGAGACTGTACCAGATGAGAACAGTGTACATTTCACAGTGACTAAAAAACCCTAGAGCAGCAATGCATTGTCAACTATATGAGCAGAATGGTGTATGTAGACTAAGGAAGAAAGGATTAGGAAAGTTAATTAAGAGGAATCTAGGTCATTTTATTATTATTATATTCATGAGGAAGCACTAAATTTGTAGTTACCTACATCTAGGCAACCCCTCTTGAATGGAAGACTCGCTGAAACATGGTAACTTTGTCGGAGACCTCTTGTGCGTGCATTACAAAGACCTCTTCTTGTGCATGCATTACAAAAGACCTCTTTGTGAGTGTGATACAAAAGATTTCTTCTTGTGCATACGATACAAAAGACTTCGTCTTGTGCATGTGATACAAAAGACCTTGTCTTGTGCGTGCAATACAGAAGACCTTGTGCATGCGATACAGTGTTCTTAACCAGTCATTTAATAACTTACTACTGTACTTCTTTTTACCATGTTATAGATACCAATGCATCTTTTATACAAAACTTTAATTGTAATGTGCATGAATTTTATCATAGTTTTGCTATTTTGACAGTTTGCCTAAATTTTCACTCCTTTGCCCTCTGCTGCTGGATCTGTGGATCTATGACTGGTTTCAAGAGCTCTTCTGCTCTTAGCTCAGCCTGTATTCTGCTTTATCAACTAGGGTGTTGCTTCCTGTGGCCCTAAATAGCCATCACAGCTTAGCTGATTAGGTACCTATTGCACGAACTGGTCCAGTTTCTTTGTGAAAACTTATGTACTTCATTCATTGCATTCTTTCAGTGACTTTCCTTTTCATTTTATGTAACAGTATTGGCACATATCATTCCTCCAAATATACTAAACTACTCTTCCTTATACAATAGCTGTCAGTCCTACTTGAAATTCCTCCTACTTTAGGAATATTTACCTTTCATAATTACATTGACCAAACCATCATCTTGATACAGTTAAGCCCATAAAATTATACATAACAATGCTATTGCCTTATTACAGCTACTGCCTTTCTGTAACTACTGTACTTGGTAATGGCTCCACCCACTACAGGGACCACTAGGCTTTAATTCTTGGGGGGAACCATGTAATTGTTTGAAGTGAAGTTAATTGTAATTGGTGAGCTAAAAAAAAAAGCAGTGAAGTTATTTTTACAAATAGAATCTGAAAATATTATTTGTGTAAATATACTAATGTTCATGTGATTTCTGTAAATAATTTGCATAATTTGTAGCCTTAGCAATCTAGGAATTAATAGCCAAATATGAGCATTTTTGTACATGTTATCCATTAAAAATAAGCTATAGTCGCATTAACAGAACATATGAGGCATTGTGGATATTAAGGGTGAAGAATATCAGGAGCTACCATTTATTTTGTTATATTGGGTGTAAAGCCTTGATTGGGTAGGCCAGTAGATGCTTAACCATTTATCAGGAAATCGTATGACAAAGACCTGTGCCGGGAGACACTGTCCTGTTACCTGACAAAGAGAACATCGCCTAATGGGTGAATTCAGCATCTGAATTTTGGTAGACATATTGCCTTTAACCCTTAAACTGTCCAAAAGTAGATCTACGTTTTTTTTTTTTACATGCTCTCAAATGGGGAAAATCAAGGTCGGAGCACTACGCATGTGAACGTAGATCTACGTTTGGACAATTTAAGAGTTAAAACAATTTATTCAAGTACACAAGGATCTCAACTGACTAACCCAGCAAGTTATACACATTAGCACTTACAAAAGGGCTATTTAAAAAGTAATAAAAGCTTTACAGCCCCTTAAATAAAAGCATCCTTTATTCTGTTGTTTTCTATAAATATAACTCATTTCTAAGTTGAAAAAACAGAAATGCAACTCTCTTGGAAGTTGATGCCCTCCTGTGAAAAATAAAAAAATTCTTGCTAACTATTATTATGTTTTTCATATTTTACATAAATAGTACTGTGCAGTGTAGTTACTGTAAGATGTTGAGTTTGCCCTTGCTCTCTGCAATGTCTCATTTGCACACGACACATGGTTACAAATTATTATTGTGACACAAGGCCACCATAAGCACATGACTACTATGAAACACACGACCATCATAAACACAGCAACATATTGCCATTATACACAGTAGTATAGTATACCCGGGTCAGGAACTGGATAAAGTGCCGATCCTATCACCCAAGACGCACACATAGAATATGTCAAGTAGAATATGCAAGGCTGGCAATATAAAAACGTACTTCGGTAACCTGAATGCTCGAAATGCTGTGCATCCTTGGGGCTTTTTCATTACTTCATATTTTATACAATGTCTGAAATAAAAAAAATCAGGCATATCAATAAGCACAGACATTAATTAACATTTCTCCATAAACACAAATGTTAACACTAAACCATCTTAAACACAAACATTAACACTTCACCATAAACATGGCAACAAATAATCAAGTAGCAACAAAAAATAAAAAATTAAAAAACTACCATAAACACAATAGCTCAAGGTTACCATGATCTCCATGACTACCATGAATTTCACCCTTTTCAGGGACTATGAATTAAGTGTGTGTGTGTGTGTATATACTCGCCTGTATATTGTTGCAGGGGTCACAGTGTGTGTGAGTGTGCGTGTGTGTGCGCATGTGCGTGCTCACCTATATGTGGTTGCAGGGGTTGATTCACAGCTCCTGGTGTGTGTAATGGAACGTCTATATATTAGTCGAAGTAAAATCATCAATGTATCCATATTTGAAGTGTATAATACATAAAAATGTATAGAAAATAGTTACATATGTATATATGCTATAAATATTTGTGTTTTGATTGTTTAAAGAAAATCATCAGTTCATAAAAAAAAATAAAAGTTTTCTATTGTGTACTGTACATGGTTTAAGGTATATGTTAATATAATTTATTTTGGTTTTTATTTTATCTGTGAAAATAAGAATTTCAGTTACTCTCACTTTTTTTTTTTTTGTGATATTATAGTTAAGGGTCAATAGACCCCATAGGGGTCTAAAGCACCTGGGATGTGGAAAGTAATCAGGTTCAATCCAATGAAGAGAAAGGTGGTTTCAATTTCTTGGATCAAGAGCCCTTCACTGGCATCGAGGCACTTTTATCTCCTCCCTCCCTTTGATCCCTGGATGGGTTTATTAAGTCAAAATTTTAGGAATTGTACATGTGCTTGTAGAAATAAAGATTATTATTATTATTATTATTATTATCATTATTATTATTATTATTATTATTATTAT